TAAATTCATATATATAATAAATGAAACTTCAGGTGGCAGCCAGTGCTACAGGAAAAGTCAAGTACAATTGAGGGTGAAAAAGTGAAGTAAGGATGTGAACTTTGGGAACAACTGGGAGTCAGCATCTGAAGGCAGAAGAGCAAGGTGCAAAGACACACGCACACTCACTGGTGCAAAGACACATGCACACTCACTGGCACAAAGACACACACACGCACTCACTGGCACAAAGACACACACACTCACTGGTACAAAGACACACACTCACTGGTAAACCTTGGATCTGGAACATCTTCCAAAGGCTCATGTGCTAATGGCTTAGTTGCCGGACTGTGGCACTCAGTGGATGCCACTCTGTCCCTCCCTTTCTTTCTCCCAGCCACCATGAGGTGAGCGGCCTCCTTCGTCGCACTTCTCTGCCATAATCTATGGAATAGGCTGCTGTGGCCCCAAAGCCACGTGGCCAGACAACCGTGGAATGAGACCTCTGATGCTGTGAGCCTAAGCAAATCCTTTCGTCCTTTTAAGTCAACCTTCTCAAGTACCTTGTCATAGCAACGGAAAGCTAACTCACCCACTCACACAGGTACATATTCTGTATACTTGCCAGGGGAAAAGATTACTTTTCCCTTCAGGTGTTTTGTGTCTTGAACTTCTGACAATGAGTTTACCACCCAAGAGAGCATGGAGGAGCTGTATTTTAAAGCAGTTCCATGTAGAGAACTTTTGTGGATTTTCCTGCTAGGCAAGAGACACTGTTCTGGGAAGATATTTGTAGTAGCTGCTACTTTTCTGAAATGGCTTCAAATCTGAGGATGCAGAACGATGTCTCTCTTTGTTCTCAGGAACATTTTCTAACAGGTCACTTTGTGGAATACAGTAGCTCCTTGTGAATTATTGGTAGCAGTGAGCTGTGTGAATGAGTGAAGGCCAGGTGATGCTCAGACTGGGGTCACTCTGAGATGTCAGTTAGGTTTGCTTCAGTGTCTCAGCACCTGTTACCGTAGGAAGCTGAGTAGGAGAAAAAGTGCAGAGCAAGATGATGCAGATAAGACTGGCAGGATGAAGTAAGCAGGGCTCGCTTGCATCTCAGTTTTCCAAGCACAAAAGAAACAGAAGAGCAGATGCAGTCATTCTTGCAAACAGCTGCAGTTCAGTAAACAGAAGTCCAGTGGAAAGACTGAAGAAGTCTTGTTCCCGCTTTGTAACTCAAATGGTATTTTTTTTGTTTTTGTTTTGTTTTTTTTTGGTACTGGGCATCGAACTTTCAAACGGTACTCTTAGTGTGACAAGCACAAAACCTTTGCAGAAATTCAAAACACTATGCACTTATTTGAGAACAAAGATGAAAGGGCATGTGACAGGAGAACCTAGGTGCTGGTATTCTGGTCCATCATGAGTCTAGCAGGAGAGGGCTCAGGGCAGAGAGAAAGAACCTGCTCAACTGTCAGTCCTAGCCCATGGTCCACAGAAAGTGAGGAGAGAGAGTAAACTGGGAGGTGCTCTGGGAACCTGCTGTTACAGTCCCTCCCCAACACACCTTTGGGAAACTGTCTGCCCCCAGTGTCCATGCAAGAGCACTGAAGTCATGGGAGAACACACTGCTACGGCTTATACTGCTGTCTCTAGGTGCCCCCAGCACAGCCTCATCAGTTCATAATGGGGCTTCTGAGAGGTGATTGGGTCATGGGGATGTGATACTCATTAGTAGATTAGTTCACCGATGAGATTATAGCTGACTGGGATGTTGGGAGGGAAGCCTGGTGGAGCTCCAGGGGCCATGGCCTGGAGGGGTCTATCTCCTTCCCTTCTCCCTCAATCTCTTTCTCTCTCTACTTTCTGCCTGCCATGCCATGAGCAACTCTCCTCTGTGATTCCTTTCTTCCATGCTGCCCTGCCTTGGAGGCAGCTGACTATAGACTGAAATCTCTATGAACTGTGAGCCAAAGTAAATCTCTCCTTCTTAGAATTGTGGGTGTTGGGTATTGTGTCTTCATGATGAGAAAGTAATTAAGACACACAGGGAAATTCCATGCTATGTTTTTTTTTTTTTTTCTCTTTTAATCTGTTTTGTTTCAGTCCGTAGGGAACTGGGGAAGGCAAACTCAGGCTCTGCTCCAAAGTGTGTACACAGCCCCTCCACTTCATAGAGTGCTACCTGTCGCAATGACGCAAAGAATGCAGAACCGCAAACTACTAAGAGTACCTATTCTAAAAGATCCAGACCCAGCTCAGGGGTCCAAGGTCTTCCCTGAGAAAGACCTACTCGAGCACTGCCTGCGTCAACGTGCGTCATTATGATATAGCATGTGGTAACCGTGGGAGAGGGAGCACTCAGGTACCAAGAGCAGAGGAAAAGGCCATCTGGGGGAGTCAGGGCCTGGGAATGGTGAATTCTGCAGGGCACATGGAGTTTGAGATATTTTAGGATTATGCCATTAAGGACGTGGATTTATGAGTCTGATATGCAGACGTGGTAAACGTGATGGTTTGATTTGATAGGGGTTTGATTTTATAAATATCTGCTCAATGACTGACTGAACCCCCTTGAGGGTGTGATGGGGCTTTAGGAAACTTGCGGCTTATGCCCTACAGTGACGGGAGCTAATTGGCCATTCCGGGTCAGTTCAAATGGATCCCACAGAGAGGCAGCAGCCCAATAATGAGAAATGGGCTACTTTAGTCAGAGGTGCCCTCTTTGGAGCAAGCCTTTCTTTGGTGGTCTTTGGAAGCACTCCTTTTGAAAGGCACTTCATGTCATAGACAATGAGTTCTCTCTGTCTCCTGAGTCCTTCTCAGACTAGCCTGGCAAAGGGCAGACCATTCCTTTTGTCCACTGCACTGTAGAAATAACCACAGAAACTCTCAGGGCATGGTTTTGACCTTATAGAGGATCTTCCCTCTAGGAGCTGACCACCATTTACTTCTGAGCCTCATGTTCTGACTTTCCTCTTGGGATTAAATCTGAGTTTCCACGAGGTGAGGAGTTTTACCTCTGATCATAGCTCTCTGACTGCTATTTGAATCCAGATGAGCTGGGCTGCCCCATGGTCCCTGATCCCTGCACTTCCTCTGGCCTCGCCATTTCCCAGGGATTACCAGGCTTCTTCTCCAGAGTCAGTTTCTCTGGTTTGCAGGAGGTGCCTCTGTTAGATCCAGCCAGGAAGCAGAGCCCCCACCTCCCTACCTGACCTAGAAGAGGGGCCAAGCCCAACTCACCAGGCTGACCAGTTTAGCAAGATCAGAACCAGAAACATAGGAGCAGAGGCCAGGAACAGCAATGCTGGCCAGGTGCCTGGTTGAGGCTCCTGGCTCACTTGGCTGTGGCTGGACAGAGCTGCCCTGATCTAGCTTGCCCTGCTTTAGTTCTAACTCAGCCAACAGCAACTCCTTTCCTCCACTGGGAGGCTGGGGAGCAGCAGCCCCCCCTCCCCGAAGCTCAGCTTCCCATTGGAACCACAGGCAGGCCGTCCTCCCCCAGCACCTGTTGAGCCCTACCTTTTGGGAACACCATGAGGTGGGCCTGCGTCCTCTGCTGCCTCCTCAGGCCTTCGTACTGGGCTCGAAGGTTCTGGATGCTGACTTGGGGCCCTTGCCCTGGGGCCTGAGTCCTGGCACCCTCAGCCATGAAGCGAGACCCCAGCTGCCAGAAGTGGGGCAGGGCAGGGCACGGGCAGGCCAACCCTTTCATCCGGGTCCAGGAGAAAAGCAAACATGAAGGGGAGAGGCAAGGGGAAGAGGAGGAGTAGAGAGGGAGGGGGAACAGAGTGGGTGGGGAGCTGGTAGGGCGGAATGAGGGCAGAAAAGGGAGCAGGAAGAGAAGAGAGGGAAGAAAAGGAGGGAGAAACACAAGGGAGGAAAAGGCAGAGATGGGGAGAAGTTGAGGGGAGGAGAAGAGAGGAGGAAATCCAAGCAAGAGTCAGAATTAGGAGGAAGATTTGGGGAGAGGGCAGGAAAGGACTAGGCAAGGAGAAAGTAAAAAGGAAGGAGGTGACGGTGATAAGAGAGTATCAGTGGGATCTGGGAAGAGAGTGAGAGAGCGTAGGATAGGCAGGAGTAGGTGCTTGGGGAGTGGGAGGTTGTGAGGAGAGGGGAGGAGTGGAGGGCACAAAGAGAAAGAGAAGCCCAGCTCCTGGGGTCCTGGTGGGAGTCCAAGGAGTGTCTTACTTCAAGTCCTTCATTACTCGTTCCTCAAGTTTTGAATCCGATTCTAGGAGCTGTGGCGCAGTCCCCCATTTTCTGGTGGAGCCGAAGCAGGTACTGAGGACTAACTGGTTCCCACTCAGCTCACACATCGCAGACGGGAGCATGGTGGTTCATCAGAACCTGCCGGTTTGTCTTGCAGCTGTCAGAGGGACACCTTCAGCAGCCTGGCAGAGTTGTGCTCAGGATGTCCATGCTGTGGCCTGGCTGTGTGCTGGAGGAATTCAGCAGCAAAGAGCTCCACTCACACCGCGCCCCTCCCGCCCCCCTGCCAAAGCCCAGCCCCAAAGTCTGCCATGGGGAAGGAGCCCAAGGGAGCCCTGGCCTTCAGCCAGCCCCACCTCTTTGACATTTGATGCAGCCTCTGTGTTCTTGGCATTTTCCAGCGGAGAAGTAACTTTATCTTACCAAGGCTAGGCGCACTTTCACACCCTGCTTGCACCTCCACTTTACAGCTTCTTCGAATGCCAGACCCCTTTGGCGTCTTACACTGGCTGTGACCTATTCTTGTTCCACTTGTCAATTAAACCTTTTTCTATCTTCTCCGAATGTGACACAAACTGTGGGTCGCCTGACACACCTGCCTTATACAGGCAATGGGTGAAGAGACAGTGGAGGGTAAATCTTTGTTGGGCAGCATAACAGAGTCACATAAACTGGGTGGCTTAAGCAACAATCTTTCCCTCACAGTTCTGAAGTCTAGAAGTTCAAGACCAAGGTATTCACAGGATTGATTTCTTCTATGAGCTGAGAGGGTGAATCTTTTTCGTGCCTTTTACCTAACTTCTGATAGTAGGCTGGCAGTCTGTTTCTTGTCTTATGGAAGAATCACCAGTCTCTGCCTGCATCATCACATGATGTTCCCCTGTGTGCCTCTATGTCCAGTTTTTCCCTCTTTATAAGGATAACAATCCCTGGAGGAGGGCTCAACCTAATGACCTTGTCTCCACTTAACTAATTCTGCAAGGAAGTTCTTTCCAAATAAGATCACACTGCACGGTCCCCAGTTTAGGACTTCAACATGTGAATTTTGGAGGGAGAAAATTTAACCCATACCAGGTAGAGGGATGACAGTTCCATTCACAGAGGCATGGAAGAGGAGCAAACTGAGATGTCACATTTGTGGTATCTACTATGGCCGTGGGTCTTCAGGAGGGAGTTAGCTGCTTGATAGAAAGATCTGAGCTGAAAATACAGACTCTGTAGGGGTGAGATGCCCTATTTCCTGAGGAAATAGTTTCTATTTCTCTATATATTTAAATTGTATCAAACCTGTGGCATAATTTCTCTGGTTGAGAGAGGAGCCTGTGCTTAATCTAATGGGCTGGCTCATGGACAGAACCACCCACTCTATAGATCTCACTAGAGCTTATAGTAAAGAAAATTAAACCTAGAGCATCCAGGGCCTCTCTGTCCAAGGGGTCCAGCTATTCAGTGAGACTTGTGGAATAACAGATTTCACTCACCCTGCGGCACTGCTCCAGAAAAAAATGACTCCTATGAGAGACCCTGTGATGGAAAGCTCAGCTCTCAGTGGGTGGTGAGTCAAAGACTCATGAGAAGACCTTACGGTAGCTGGTGTGGGAGCTGAAGACTGGGTCAGCAAGGTGTTCAGTGAGGACGGCTGAGGTAGGTCCTGACCCGAGAAGGGCTTTGGTTTGGTGTCCTTCCCACTGGAGACTCTAGGAAACCTTCGTATTCTGATCCTTTGCTTTTCTTCCCCCTACTCTAATTTAACTGTGACCTGATCTCAGTCCTACAGCCTAGTGAGAAACATCAAGGACAGGAGGGAGAGACAAGGTGCCAGCTTCCATCTTCTCTGGTACAGTGAGAAGGAGGCCTCAGCCCATGGTATGAGCTGTGATTTGGGGGCCATGTGATAACAGTGTCCCAGGAGAGACAGATGTAACGAAGAAGGACTCAGGCAAAGAAATGTTCCAGGACACGTAGTTTTAGATTCTCAGCCTTAGAGAGTAAGGAAGTTGCTTCTGAAGTAGAAAAGGGTGGGTCAGACACGGGAAAATGATGGCAACATTCATTAAGCCCCAACAGCAAGGACCATGTGTATGCTAAGCGTTCTGCGTGAATAATCAGATTTTGTATTGCAGTGTACGTAACACAAAACTTAATATTTTATGTCTAAAATGTACCAATGAATGTTTTGTTATTAAAAATTTACCATTCTGATCATTTTAAGTGTACAATTAAGTACGCTTATGATGCTGGGTCACAATCACCGCCATTTCCAGAATGTTTTCATCATCCCAAACAGAAATTCTGCACCTATTTAAAAAGTGACTCCCCACTCCCCGTACTGCATGTTTCTATGACTTTGCCCATTTCAGGTAGTCCATATATGTGGAATCCTACAAAGTGTGTGTGTGTGTGTGTGTGTGTGTGTGTGTGTCTAGCTTATATCACTTAACGTGATATTTTCAAGGTTCACACATGTTGTAGTGTGTATTAGGACTTCATTCCTTATTAAAATAGCGGATATTCCATTGTGTAGACATACCCCATTTTATCTATCCCTTTATCTACTGATGGACAGTTAAGATGGTTCCACCTTTTGGGTACTGTGAATAATACTCCTGTGAACAATGGTATACCAGTATTTATCTGAGTCCCTACTTTCAATTCTTTTGGAAGTGCTGGATCATTTGGTTTAACACAGCTCTGTGTTTGCCTTTTGAGGAACCTGTACAAAAATCAAACTTAATTTCCTGAGACAACACAGAGAGACGCTGCATCAGTATCCTTTCTCCTTCATCTTTTACATGTAATCCACCTCTAGGCCCTAGAGATTCCCAGCCCTAAGAATTAATTCACGTGTATACATTCGTTTCCACCTGCACCAACCATAACCTAGTCTAGGTGGTCATCATTTCTTTTTCCAAGACCACTGCCACAGCCTCTTAACTGGTCTCCTGCTTCTTACTCCTGCCTGTTCTCACAGCAGTCATTGTTCTCCAGAGGGCACAAAGCAAAGGGAACCTTGTGGTTTCCCAGTATGCTCCAATTGGCATTTAAATCCATCTCGTAGCCTATGAGGTTATGCTTATCCTGTTGTCTCACTCTCCAGTCTCGGTGTCACGTTAACTCACGTTCTCGAGGTTTTCTATGAAGGGATGATAGACATGCCCAGGACTGAGACTCTGACCCTGGGCCAGGTTCCTCCAGCTACAGACCTCTCATCCACTGTCTTGTTACCAGTTAAGACCGAGGCGGCTCACTCGAGATGTGGGCAGCCCAAAGGAGAGACACAGACTCCTGGGAAGGTCTGAACTTACCCTTGTGCTCAGAGGCTCAGCTCAGCTATCAGCACCCATATAGCAGTCCTCAGGCCCCTAGCCTGCCCATGGTTTCAGCAGCCCTCAGCTGCTCAGTCTACATTTATACCAAAATGCACAGCAGCTGGCCAGCATTGGCCTTGGTTACAGAAGAAGATGCGCCTGTGCTGGGGCTCTGTTGACACAGACCCCCAAATCTCCCAGACGCCCCTCTCTTTACAGCCTGAACCAAAGTACCACCATCTTGTGTTTTCCCATTTCCCCGCCCTCGTTTACTCCTCTTGTGGCCTACCTGAACAGTACCATCTTCTAAGTGTGCCAGGATGTGAACAAGGGGAGAAAGTTCTCATCACTTTAGACATCTCTCATGGTACTAAGTGTCCTCAATGTCTCTTACGCCTCAGAACTTCGGTATGTGCTCCTCTCTGACTTCCAGAGTTCTCTTACCTACTGTCACCTCAGACTCTTTTCATTGCCCACACCCCAAAGGGTATCTCTCCTAACATGTAATCACCTTAAGTTCTCAGTTTAGAAAGAGAGATAACAGAGGGTTTATGATCATGGACTATAGAACCAGACTATAGGAGTTTGTATTTGACCTTCCCCACTCTTGGCAGCGTGCTTTTGGGGTAATGAATGACTTAACTTCACAGCGCCTGCACACAGAGCAAGTCCAAGAGAGAGGACAGCAGCCTGAGCTGAGTAGACAAACAACACAGGCTTCACGGAGCATTACCTTCTAGGTCCTGGGCCCTGGGGTGGGGTGGGGTGGCTCATCTGTTGTTCATTTAATCTTCACAGTTATATGAGGCAGTGTTGGAGAATTCCAAGAGATGGGAGGGAGAGAACAATGGGAGTCAGGAGGATTTGTGTCAGGTTTTGGGTGAACACTGGCTCAACAGGCACCTGTCCAAGGGAAGAGCCCAGAACAAAGAAAAAGAGTCCAGATTTAGACGTTCGGTCAAAGTGGGGGGGGTGTTGGCCTTTCCAGTGACATGAATCTGGGGGGAGTGGGCAAGCGAGGTTACAGAAGTGGTAGAAAGGCCGTTAGCCATGTGTCACCCAGTGACAGCCTTGTAACTTATCCTTGAAAGAAGACAGAGCCTTGTAAATTCCTGTGAGAACAGAGTGCTGTAAACTTTGTGTTCAGGATGTGGTTGTCAATTTTATCTGTACCAGAACAAGGAGTTGCAGCTACAAGGGAGAAAGGTGGTGACCGGAGGAGGGGGGACTGTCCGAGGATGGGAAGAACTTGTTTTTTCTTTAAGTCCTGCTTCAGTAGGTGCCCTATAACATCAATCATCATCATCATCATCATCATCACCATCATCATCATCATCATCATCATCATCTTCACTTTCCAGGGGGGGAACCTGAAACTGTGCAGTGGTAACTGGCTTAGCAGAGACCAGGTCCTTCCACTTCCAAATGCCACCTATCTCCAGAGTATCCAGGCTGTGTCCCAGTTACATACAGAGTAACATACAGTACTAGGATCTCCTTTGCCTGGCAACAGTGGAATCCTCACTTCCAGTATTATGAAGGCCCTGGTTTAGCCCACAGACCCTAGTCTGGCCAATTCATGCAGAGAGAGAGATTTCACATGGGAAACCAGGTGCTGACAAAGTGATTAATTAGGAAAGCAGAAAGAGCAGCTCTAGTCCTCTAGTCCTCCTCTACCTTACGTTTTCCCAAGGATGTCATAAACACTGTCTTCCATCCTGTATAATCCTTTGTGTCTGAGCTTACCAGGTCCCCCCATCAGTAGGTAAAGCCTCTACCACCTTGACCCTGAGTTGGCTGAGTGGCATCATTTGCTCAATAAAGTGTGGTAGACAGGATGCTGTGCCCATTCCTGGCATAACCTATAACAACTGAACTTGTGGAAGCTTCTGCTTGTTGCATTTTGGAATGCTCGACTCTTGTGATTTGTTTCCTCTGAGCCCAGACACTCGGTGGTGAGCAGTAGGAGCAAATGGGAAGACTGGGTGCAGTTGCTGCAGCCAATAGCTGCAAGCGAACTCCCTACCAATAGAGAGCAGCGACTTCCAGCATCAGCCAGGCACGAGAATGCAGCGGAACACCCAGCCCCCTGTGACCTCGGTGACTGAAACCCAGCGGACAGACCCTAGCGAAGAGCTATCTCCCTGA